AATTCTAATAGGGATTCTTTTAAAATGTGTACGATTACAACGATTTACACAATTATGGTTGTGCCTTAACCACTAACTGACTTCTTCAACTTTTCTCAAACCGCTCTGTTTGTATAAAAAATACAAACGTTTAGTCGTATTTTAAAACAGTTTTTACCATATCATCAATGTCCAAAGCTATACAAACACAATAAAAATCAGAATCAAACTAGTCGGTGAGATTCTACTAAAACCGTCACGGAGGGTCGTTTTATAGGCATGAGAATGGTGCAAAACTCATCGGCCACATTTTCACTAAAACTTGATGTCAGGTATTGGCCCGCAAAATGTCGTCTTGCGGCCACAAATGGCCCGTGGATCGCTAGTTTGAGACCCCTGTAAACCTTATATATAGCAATAACACTTTGTAAAAATCTTCCGTAAAATAGATTTTGTAAACACGTTTTCGTCTAGTTTAAAGATCAAATTAACTTAAAATTACCGAACAGCTGTTGCCAGATTTACCAAACGGAATACCCGGATGTTTTGTTAAGACCAAAATGATACTGCCTGACAATGCGTCCGGATTTTTCTCTTAATAGATTTCTGCAATTAAATGACAAACACTTCAGCATACAAATTTTAGAACAACATTTGTCAAAAGACAAATGTGTGACAATTAAGCAACTAAGAATTCAATGACTCAATGAAATATATCGTGCAACACTGAAGTTTAAAATTGTACAAGTTTTAAAATTATAATGTGGTCTTCAAATTCGGCAGATAAGTTATGTTAAAAATATTTTTTACATTGCGAAAAAATAATTATTTAAAAAAAAAAAAAAATAGGGTAAAGCAAAGTTCACCCTACTTCAGATTCCAGTTGCCTCTAGTGGTAGTCGGCCATAGGGTTGACTACTATAAATAAAAACACAGACAACTTGAGATGTCAAGTCACCACTTGTGTTAGTCGGCGATAGGGTTGCCGGCTATACATACTAAGTTTTTTCTGATGCTTAACTTTCATGCAATCGGACTGAATCAGAACTAGCTGTCCCCACGAAATAAACAGAGATGACCATCACAATCATTGAAAATGGTCGGCGGTTGTAATTCATTTACAGATACGTAACATTGCTAATAAAGATGGAAAAAAAACATGTATTATTTTGAGTTGGAATGTCCTGGTTTCGCAACATCATCGCAGCTTCTCTGAAGTATGAATAACAAGAAAAATTAAATTGAACTGTATATGTAAAAAAAATAGTTAAAACGAGAATCAGCTTGGTACAAAATGTAAATAAGCTAACTTATTGATCAGGGTGATAACTATTACGCATTCTGGCTTCATTTATGAAAAGTCCAATTGTACATTGGTCATTGGTCATGGGTCATGGCCATGGGCCTAATGATCTGCCTGCAACTTATGACCCCACTCCTTTTTTCCGAAAAAGACTTGAATTGAAATACTATAATCCATAATCAGTAACTTATCATGATTATAGTATAATAGAAATGATCCACGGAAAACAACGGGTACACTGAATCACAGTGTTCATCCTCTTTCCAAACACCTCCCCCACACCCCTTTCTGCTTGGAAGCGTTTAGCAGCCCAAATTTGAGCACATCTATTACCCCCCCCCCCCCCATGCGATGATATTCAACACAACTTTCACACATTCAAAAAATTGTGATTTTTTTTTTTGCCAAGATTTTTGAAAATATATTTTTTAAAAGGTTGATTAACACCTTATCAACCTAAACACTTGTTTAAAAAACATCTTACCTGCCTAACACCTGTTGAGTGAACGCAAGCCAGTAAGGAATTTTTTTAGAGATTGGATTATCCTCCAAAAAATCAAATTTGCATTCTTAATGCATTCTTCCCACACAAACAATTTTTTTTAAAAACAAAATGGCCGTGCATGTGTTCATGCTTTTCGCCCCCCTCTAGCCACGTAATTGCTGATAGTTACATAAAAATATAATAATTAAAGGACTGCATTGGTTTTGCTATTTTATTAGCTAGATCAATACATAAATATAAAGGCCCTACAATCATATACATACACAATTACACACTGAAACATAAATTATACATTGTGGAACTGGATGTCGGCGACGCATGTAAATTGGGGCGCATTTATATTTGACAGTTTTGAAATGTTTCCCGTAGAGGAATAGATCCCTTTATTTCATTCCCAAAGTGCTGATTTGGGAATTCATCGTCTAATATTAAACGTAGAAAAACAGACTAATCAAGAAAGCTAGGAACAAAACACAAACTAAACATCAAGCTAGGAACAAAACACAAGCTAAACATCCTTCACTTGGAGAACTATTTGAAGAGAGATGTTCTTTTAAAACTAAACACATTTTGGATTAATACCCCCTCCCCTTTTCTGCATTACAGATACTTAGGATCTACCCGTTAAGGACGAATTCTTTCTCTGGTGGCGAGGGAAATAAAATATACAAATTATTTCGTTGCCAAATCTGTATGAATTTACCAGCGTATTTCGCCAGATGTCACAAATTCAAATTAGAATTAAGAAGTCCCTGATATGTGTAAGGGAGTTCACTAATGGCGCTTTTTTCACTAGTTAAATAATTTAATATAGATGTCTTCTGTTTAAATTGTTTTAGTTGCAAAATGTGGACGTTATTAAAATGCAAATTTATTTAGGTGCTGAAAATGTACAACGCAATTTAAAAAAAATATATATCCATTTGTTTGGATCAATAAAAGAATCTTATCTTACTTAAGAATGCATAGCAGGCTTTTCCAATAAAATTACTTGTTTTCGAAAATGTTTTTAGCCTACTAATAGCAAGTAAGTCAATGATAAAAAAATACACATCGTTTTATTATTACACATTTTATTACATTCGACAGTCTAGGCTTTTTTCTTCATTATATGCAATCCCCAAAGACAGTTTGTAAAAGAAGAATGAGACTTGTCTCCATTCTCTACAATTAAAATTGTTGTTACTTTTATTCAAGTCAGTTGGTCGTTTTTCTTATGAACTAGAAAGGATAAAGTTTTAAGTCACAAGATTTATAGTTTAAAAAAAAAATATGTTTGTTTTATTTATTACATGTGCGTTTTTAAATTGCTTTATTGTAATTTATTAACATTTTAAATACAATATTAACATTTATTTTTATAAAGTCTGGCATAGTTTACAAAAGGAAATAACATGATTAGCATATAGTTTTCATTTCAAATATTGCTTGTTTTTTTTTCTTCTCTACATGAAACTTAAAATCAGGCTTTTAAAAAAGTCATTTTTTCAAAAGACAATTTCATATCGATAGTAAGTGAAACTAAACAAAACTGACTTATTTTACTATGTATCGTTTGTGAACTCAAGCTTTTGTTTGACAAAGATGTTAATTTATTTTAACGTATATGATCAACTACAAGCATTTGAAGATGTCCTCATTTATGCTTATAAAATCTTTTTTTAAAATAATAACTGTTTAAAATTGTATTGAACCGTAACAAATTTAATCTATACATTTTATCTTTTCTAGACAGGTATTGGGACTTGGTCTTAGGCTTTATTATTTTAAAATATTCTGAAACAGAACTTACTTTATTTGTACAGCATAGATATAATAATCATATGGTTCTCTTGAAATCAGTATCAGACTTCAAATGAAAATTATTACATTTAAAGAGCTATCAATAAGTTATTATTTTCTTTAGTTTCTTTGGTATAAGCGTAATACGTTTGCTGGGTGGCCGAGCAGTCTAAACTGACTCAATCCATGTGGTCTGGAGTTCAAGCCCCAACAAAGGCAAGACAACCAAAAACATCCCCAGCACCCTTGGAAGTCAACTCATCTAAGAGAAGACAGACACTGAATTTAAAACAGGAGCCAGAATCATCAATAAATTGATCGTGGCCCTCAAATATAAAAAAAAAATACTTTCATTACACTTAAATGAACTGATGATTTTTTGTTTGACAACGAACTGTACAGAGTCAAATGAAACATGAAACCTACTGGTTTTAAATATTATTTCTCATCTACATTACCTATGAGAATATTAACACTATTTATTAACTTTGTGTTTTGCTAAAGAAAATCATGTAATGATTATGAAATAATTAGTATCATATTCAATTGTTTGGAAATTGTCTTTTAGCAGTTACAAAATACATAGATGTCAAAGACTGCACAAATGTCCGCATTACCAACAATGGTTTATTCACGAGTCCATTTATCTTCTCTTAATTATCATCTTACTGAAGCATAAATTACGCGTAATTAAAAATTTAATTTAAGGGTGTTATGTAGACGACAAGTTTACGTCATATTTCCCCCATGCTGTGCGCAGACACTGCGCTGGTATTGGGCGTGGCGTATTCCTTTTGATCTTCTTTACACCAAACCAATCTGTCGACAGTTTTCTTGACAGTTTTTCAAAGCGGTAGAACATGGTAGTTAATTAAACGAGGAAAACAGAGCCTTATCAACCAGATGAGGACACACAGTTATCTCCACAGATTGGACGACAAAAGGGAACCAAGCTGCCATCTATGCGGTCAGGCCGACGAGACGGTGGCTCACTTAGTGACCACGTGTCCATGTGGTGGGATGGGGGCTGACGCTTAAGATCCTGAAGCCTGCCTTGATGATTATCTCTACGGTGACGACCAGCAGATGAGGCGAGCCGCAGAAATCATGGCCAGGGTCATAAGAGACTAAGTATCGACCCAAAAGAGTATTGACATTTATTAGTAGAGCAGACTATAAAAAAAGCAGAAAGAGCATTATTTTTGGAGGATGATAAGATTTTTTCTTTGTTTGACACATTGTAATTTTCATCCACGTTTGTCCCGATACAAAAAAAAAAAAAAGAAAAAACAATATTTTTTTTTTTTTTTCACAATTTAAAATTTTAACACGTTTTTTCCCCAAAAAAAAAAAAAAAAAGAAACAACAATAATACTCTGTAAGTTTCTGTAAGTTAATGACTTTAATTATATTTCTTTTATTTTGTAATTTGTCAGTAACTTAAAAAACGTATTAATTGCAGTTGGCACTGTTTTGAGTATCGAATTTTCTGGTTTTTTTTTTTAATTATTTGGTATCGTCTTGTTAATCACTGTTTTGGAACGAGCAATACATGTAAATGGGAGATTAAGTTCTCCCTACGGAATGCAGCGCGTAACAATGGGGATCATTGTTTTATGCATAATAAACTTGCGTATAAACAGTTGTGAATATTTTAGATGCTATTTACAAAATTCAAGCACTTGAGTTACTATTTTCAGTATCCAAACTCTTTGACTTTTCCAAGTTGTTGGCCTCAGAGAAGTTCATCTGCTGATAGTCCCCAAAGTTAGTGTAGGATGACGTAGTCTCACTGTAGCGATGTAACACTTGATAGAGTATTCTGTACTGATCCTGATGGGTAAATAATAAAATTTAGAGGTTCATATGGCCCATTGATTCTTTACAAAGACAGCAGGGCCGAATCGTTTTATGCATAATGAAATGAAAAGTTATATACTCCCGTTTTAAATAACTAATGATGCATGCAATTAAGAAAAATTATTTCAATAATGTTATTTTCTTAATTTTACTTTGAAATATTCATGAAAAATACATTTTATAGAAGAAAAAAAAAAGCAATATCTCATTACCAGAGTAGGTATGACCTGTGGCCTCATAGATTTAATGGCCCCTACAACCAGTGGTATAGTCAAGCGAAGGTCATTATCTATTCTGTCTAACAATAGAGTCAGTACACAAGCCAGTCCACTGTATTTTGCGCCATCTCTAAATCCAAGAGAACGTTCGCAAAGTGGTTTTAAAGAAATAGATTTTGGTTCCCCCCACTCCCCACATTTACTTCTGAACATAAATTTAATGTTAACATTCTGTTAAAAATTATTTAATTATAAAATATGTTTGATATGTAATCTTATTATTGATAAGCAACGTTTCTTGTCTATTTTCCTAATGGAAAAATTTAATGTTTTAGGATTTAATTTTTTAAATTTTACAAATGTTATCTTAATCAGAAAGTTTATCCATATCCTGAAAATGTATGTATGCAAGCATTTAAAGATATATCCATGTTAGTGTTAATAAATGAATCTTATCTTATGTGATAAAGTTTGATCATTTAAAAAAACGTTCTTTTTTAGACACTTACCTGCACATGTAAAGAACCCGTTCCTCTCCTGGGGACTTAGCTGACCTGATATGTTTAACTAACAGTAGAAGATTCTTGACGTCCAGTTCAGTAGAGAAACATTTCAAGTGAGATACTTTTAACTCATCGAACTGTAGAAGAAACAGAGGCATTTCTCAATATTTTGTTTTTTTAATACATAAGATAGCTAAGATTTTTTAAATGTTGAAAATATCTTGGAATTCTAATGTTGCACCGCTATATATATTTTAATCAGAATAACCTAGATAACTATTTTAATAAAAATAAGCCCAATTAATATAATAATCAAAATTACCTTAATAGATATTTCAATGAAAATAATTTCAATAAATATTGTAATCGAAATAACATAAATAAATAGTATGCTAAAAATAACCTCAGTAAATATTATAATCAAAAGAACCTCAATAAATATTGTTGTTACGAAAAGCGCCACTGTCTTATGACCGGCAGTTCGTTGTCTTTGGGTAACTGGTAATCATAATAAACTCAATAAATATTGTAATCAAAATTATATCAGTTCCGATTAGGTTTTTTTAAATTTTACTTTTTTGTTTTTAATTGGTGATTAAACTTTCCTAAAAGAGTAAAACAATTGCAAAGAATAATTGATGTTTAAATTTGGTAATGTAGGCTTAATAATTATTTTTAAAAAATATATATTTTTCGTGAAAGGGATACGACATTGGAATTTGTTATTAGAATTGATTTAAAATGTGTAACTAAATACATAAATATTTTTGAGATATTTCTTAGATACTTTTTAAATGTCGTGACTCATATGATAAAAATCTTGTAAAAGTTAAGTTTCATTTTATAGCAACTTGTAAATATTTTGACAATTTGAAATGGATGTAAGAGGATTGAAATTTTAATTAGTTCCGCACTCACTGATTTCAGATGAGTAGATTTATTCTTGGACCTGATTGACAGCTGTAACTCCTTCCCCAAAGCAAAATTCTTGGAAGAAAGAACACGTATTTCATTGGTGCCCAATGTCAAGGCCTCGCCAGGGATGGAGGGTAGATAATCTGCAATTGTCTAAATTACAGAAACATTTATGAGGATAATGAACAAAAGGAAAGGATTTGCTAACTCTTACTCTAGCATGAATTTCTGAAACATTGTTTTTATAATATTTGTATACACCAGGGGTCCTCAACCTTCCTAACGCCGCGACCCTTTAAAAAAGTTCCTCATGTTGTGGTGACCCCTAACCATAAAATTATTTAATTTTTTCTTCATATTTATGTTCTTTCCGATGGTCTTAGGTGTCCTTTGTGTAATTGTCGTTCGACCCAAAGGTTGGGAATCGCTGGTATACACTTAAGTATTGATTAGTTTAAAAAAAACTAAGATTGATATTTAACGTAGTAGAACACTATCAAATGTCCCTCTGTTGGTAAAGAAAGAGCTTTTAAAAAGTTAGGGGCTGTAAATAAAATTGATTTAAAATCTTATATTTTTATTTATATAACATGATTCATGGTTGGCTCAGCTTCATTTTAAAGCAAATAGAGTTTTACTTTAAAAAACAAAAACAAAAAAAAAACAATATTCACCGGGTCAGTAGACTGAAGGTGAAATTCAAACTCTACAATTAGTGAAACTTTGTAGTCCATGACAAGTCTCCAGAAGTCAACAACTGTGGCGGCAAGGGGAAGTTGGGTCAGAACTTGTTGGTCCTTCTTTTTCAAACTCTGAGAATGAGCATGGATGGAATGACGGAGTTAATTAAAAGATCAGAAACAAAGTTTATTTCACTAGATTGTGTCATCGATCTAGTGAATAGTACACACACAATGGTACAGATCCAAAGTACAGAAGACGGTAAACTTAGCATAATTTAGATGAATTAAGTACGGAAAAAAAGATAAAAAAGACAAAACTACATACAAGTTATACGATGGTGCTCAGCCTATTTTAAAAATCTTCTAGAAACAAATATTTTTGAAAGTTAATCGAAAAAATAAATTTAAATTACCGGAACTATGACGGCATTGATGTAATCTCCTGATTGGCTGCCGTCAGGTATCAAGGACGCTCTGTACGTTTTTTCTTTGAGAAGATAAATTGATTTTGATGACCATGTTAATATAACAAATCCCTTTTCTCTGACATTGTTTAAAGTACAAAAATAAATTGTGTGGGAATGAGAAGGATGTGTAAACACACATATTAAAGCTGCATCAAGTTTCTTTGGTTGGTAAAGGAAAAAAGGAGAGGGGGGGGGGAATTTCTCAGTTTTATATTGAGCAAACATTGTCCCTAAATTTTGTCAAAATAGTAAGAATATACTGTTTTATTTAATACTAGATATAGCCCGCCAACATTGGCGACAGCAATGCATGAACTTACCATCTTCTCAAGTTACTTGGCAAAAACGTGAACTCAAGTCACGCGCATTTAAGAATGCCAATTTTGCTACACACCTTTCCCCCCCCCCCCCATTTTTTCATGATACGTCACTGCACACTTTTTACTTCACGCCCATGAACTCTATAAATATAGTCGACCCGTGGCTTAGCATGCGTGGGGGGGGTGCAGGAGGGGGGGGGGGGGGGGGGCGGTAGCTTCGCCGCAGTACGCAAGTCTTGGGACCATTGGATGGGCAGGCAAGGGAAGTGAGGGGATGGTTTGCTTGCATCTTACTTGCTCTGGCGTATCTATATATAGCTGCGTCGTCATCTTCTTGCTTCTTGCCCTAGTTTCGTTGGCGAATTAAATATATCGATAATTCCTGAGACCATTTAATTATTCCTAAACTGTGTATCATCCCACCTCACGTCAAATATCGCAACACCTTTAAATGTCTACTTATTGTCATAACTCATGTTTACAATTAAAAAAAAAAAAATGAAAAATGAATCAAAATACCTGGTAAAATATCAGGAAATCTGTTCTTCACTATGGCAGCGTTGTTCACATTGTTTTCATAAACACTTTCATCTTGTTCTGTGTTCTCAACATCTTTAGTGTGTTTAGTGAAATCCTCACTCACTGAGCACACGTCCTATTTGTTTTAATATTATAAGTTGTTGTTTTAATTTTTTTTAAAATATACTTGTCAGTTTTAAACATCTTCCCCTCATACATCCGTCAAATACGTTTCGTTAAACTATTCACGTTTGTTTACTATTTCACCAGTTCTAAAGAGAGTCTGTACATTCTTGTTACTTAATATATCCCACATTGCAACTCACAGTTATAAAATGTGTTTTTATATGTAGACTTAATATAACACAATTATGTTGAGAGAAAGACTTACAGATACAAATGTGAAGAAATTTATAAGTAGCGCCCAGGGTGCTTAAGACGACTTAACCACCAACATTCAAGTAGCTCCATAATAGTTATACTTATAATGTCCGATTTTACCTGAAATTCAGTCTCCATTTTCGTGCGGCCTTTGAAAACTTCCTCTTCCAGAATTCGAATCCTGTCTGTAATATCTCTTGATGTAACTGTTGTTCCCATACAAACTATGGCGACCTGTGCTGCTCTGTGTAAGAATTCGAACTGAGCCTACAGCATAGAGTAGTATGGAAAAACCTATGTATGTAACATAACCAGCTTTAATTCTATTCACTTCAATTAAAAAAAAAAAAAGTTATGAACAGTTTTGAATTAATTTCAATGATGTATTTTGCATTAAATGTTTTAAAATTAACACAAAATGCTCTAATAGTTGAGGAACAATTTTTTATTTATTCAATTCAATAGTTTTAAGCAAGTTTACATATAATAATATCAACATTGGTTATTAGGTTTAAAATAACAACTTTTAAGCAATCCTTGCGTAATTTCTTAGAATAAATATATTAAAATATGTCATTTTAAAGACACTTTTTCAGTGTATATTATTCGTGATTAGCATAGATGTATCATGCTTCATAAAATATAATTTTAGTTCATTGCTTTGTTTAAATATTTCAATATTTTATTTCACTAATAAATCAATTTTTTTTTTTTTTTTTAAACACATAATACATTCGTTCCCTTACTTTTCGCATCATGAGTTTATTAAAGGTTAAATTAAGCTGAGACAATTTACCGAGGTTTGAATCATCATGACCCTGTCTTGTCTCAATTTGACAACTGTCTTAAAGAAGTCAATTCGACCTGTGTCTTCTGCTTCTTTCATAACATTACACAGAGCAATAAATGTCCCAGTGCGGCCTACACCAGCGCTAGAAAATTAAATTGTACAATGTTGGTAAAGGCTTTCTTTGGTCTAGAACTATATTCAAGTCACAAGTAAAATACCAAATGAGTGACTTTAATCGGTACATTTAATTTAAACTCAATATAAGGAAGACTGTGATCAAATATTTAATTACGGAAAAAGGAAATGCTTTGAGTTGTATTATTTAAATCAAAATTTCACATACTTAGTGCTTTCTCTCTAATATATTAATAATGATAATACAAATAAACCCAACGTACTCAAAAAAATTGTACGTTTCTATTTAATTATATAGATTTCTACAATTCATTTTATTAACATTTATCAACAGCATATGTAACATTTCCAAAAACGTTATCTAACCTACAGCTATCTAATCTGAATATTTAACACCGTAATCTAACTTGCATATAGAGTATAGTATAACATACAGTTATCTAACATCCTTAATTAACATATATTACACAGTTATCTAAACTCTACACGTAGCGTTATATTTATACAATTATCTAACCTGCAGTGTACCACTACAGGACTTGTCGTAGGCTCAGACGAGACCCTTTGTTGAAAGTCTACTAGACTCCATGGTGTTAGTGGAACTCCTTTGTCTGGCCAGGAGGTGAAGTGGAACTGGGTCATTTGATGGATGGGTTCATCTTTCTAAATATGTCAGAGTTGTCAAAAGTAAAACAACAACATTATATTAGCCTCATGCAAATTATACTCGTATTATACTCGTAAGTTATACATTAATTATACAAAGGGGTTTTCTAAAGAGTAAGCTGATGTCTTTTCGAAATTTAAAATGAAAAGTTAAAATAAATATGTATGTGTTTTAATATTTACTACTGGCGGTGAATATAACAGCAACAAAGTTGTATTATAATTGAGTAGCCACCTTTATAAGCTCCAGTTTTCTGATTGTGTAGTCAGCAAAAACGTGTGTGGACGCCAGTCTGACCTTTATGTGGCCAAAAGCAACCTTTCCCTCTTCCGGCCAGTATCTTTCACATTTAACCTATACATAGTTACATATAAGTAACAGAAATGAATAATATTAAATTATTCCTCATATTTTTGCTTCAAATAGTTTCTTCTCAATCGTTAAATCAATATATATATATGCTATGTAATTTATCTGAACTGTGTCTACTGACCTGACCTTCCTCAATCAAGTTCGTCAGCATCACAACTTTGTCTACTCTTTGCTCCCATAACAAGCGAACAAAGTCATTAATGATGACCTTATTGGGACCTGTTGAAACATGACCTCATTGAAGTATATAACTAAACCTGATCTATGTTGAAATAAACGAAAGTGACTAGGATACGGTGACACGAATAGGACAGTTTAAAGAAAGATATGATTTTTATCAAAGGCTTTTTATCACATAATTTGTCCTTCGATTTAAGCCATGAATGTTTTATAACTTTCTACATGGAGTTACTTTTTATCTAACTCAGGTTCTATTTTTTATTCGCAGTTTTGTTTATAAGTGAAAGAATTGTCGTGTCTTGTCGTTTTTTTTAAGGACGAGAGGCCTGGGAAAATAAAGATACAATGCGAATTCTGCTAAGAAATCAAAAGGCTTTGTGGAATTTTTTAATATATTTTTATATGGTATTATATGTTTAATATAATAACAATTTGGTCTATGAATACAATGTTCTTGTCTACTGTGGCATGACTTGTGTTTACATGACATCACACACGATTGATAATATGATACTTACCTTGACTGGCAATGAATTTTTCTTTGTCCATATAGCCCTGTTAATACGATTATACTTTTTAAAATATCTCTCATCTTTCTAAATAAGTTTTGTATTTTAGATTAAGGCAAATGCAATATATCCAATAGGTACCATGATGTATCTACTGTGCATGATTTATATTCAGAGGCAAATAAACGCAACTTATAAGTGCAATGTTCCGTTATTGAACGCAATATGATTAGTCATTTCGGAGACCAGGAAACGTCACATCGCATAACGCAATGTTAATTTTTAGATGATGTTTTCATAAAACATAGTTTCTAAGTATGTATTTTCGTATTTATATAGCGGTACCAAATCGTTTGTAATTATGCTATATAAAATAACGTTGTTGAAATGTTTTCGCCCAGGTTAAAACCCGCTGTGATGGGTCACATTAACGTAGAAGTACCGAACACCTGTTGACAGATTGGCCAAACGGAGTACCAGGATGTTTTAGTAATAACCTAATGAGATTGGCTAGAATGTATGCCCGGCGTTATATAAATAGATTCCCGCCATTTATACGACAAACCTCATTGACTTAAGGGCTGTTCATTCTTATTAGAGAAGTTAACTAATTGAAGTGTGTGTTTTTCTTATATAATAATTGATATTAATGAATGATATGATTCTTTTATTTAGTCATTATATGGAGCGCTAATTTACTATATTAAGTGACTCTGTCTGAGCGCCCATGTGATTATTATGACTATGCGATAACTTATAAGTAAGTCTTCATAATTTAAGCTAGCTGTAATATTACCTCAATGTACGAAGCATTTATATAATCTCCTTCATGTTTTGCTGTGTTTATCATCAGGTGGACTCTAGAGTGGTCGTCTAAAAAAAATAAAAATGACCGCTTATATACATTCGTGTCTTTGTGGAATACATTCATAAACACAGATGAACGAGTGAAGATTTAGGATCAAGCTGGTTTATTATTTTTTTAAATTAAAATAAACGAAAAATATGAAATTTCAAAGATTATCGGTTAATGACGAGTCATGGCGTGGGTCATTGAATCACTTTTGGGGTTGCAGAGGACCTCCTACGCTTAAGGGCCCTAAGTTGGAATTTGGGAAGACAGTATCTTAAACCTTAAATCTAAGGAGGAAAAAGCCGATAAGTTTCAGAGGGAAGGCACAATTTTTGGGACGGCTTTGGAAGATGTCTTCTCTCTAACTGCTCTCGTGAGATATGACTGTTTAGTTGATTGCTTCAGAAATAAAAGATTGATGGAACGTACTCACATGTACAGATGTTCTTGTATCTGTTTTTATGTCTGTTTTCATTACTTAGCCCTATTTCCATGGATACGTTCGTTGGAGCTGGGATATTCTGAAACATTTATGTGTTGAATGCAGTCTTTTATACATAGTAGCAAACTATTTTTTTCAGTTCAGTAACTTTTTACATACATAAGATGTGTTGTGTATCGAAAGTTGTAATATTACATTTGTAAAAACTAAAATTGTCAATCAGAGATCTGTATGTTACATTATTATATACTGAGACGCAGGGACGTCTTTTGGATAGGGCCGGGGTGTTGCCCCCTTCTTGAAATTGTGGGCTTTACTTAAATTTCTAGGTAGTATGGCGCATCCAGGAACGAACAATTTAATTTGTCAACCATGTGTTGGTTTCTCCCTTGAAAAAAACCTAATACAATGGCCTTGCTGAGACTTAAAGAAAATTGGCTGATATAACGCTTGAGGAGCAATGAGATAAAATTAAAGAGATATTGAAGCGAAAAAGCTGGGATTAAAGGAAAAGAGCTGTCGGAGGAAAAGAGCTGTTGGAGGTAAAGTAATAGGAATAAATAGAAAATAGAATAAAAGACAGCAGACGACAACACGAATTTAAAATGGCGAAATTAAATATAGAAACAGCTACAATTGACAGGTGAAAAGGTAAATATGCAATTTTTCAATTTTGTGTCAAGCCTCGGTTGGTGTCAACTGGTGCGGTCCACACCCCCTAGCTAGCCCCTGGCTATTGGTATTATAGTTCATGATTGCGATTGGAAGGCAGGAAAAGGATGATAAACAAGGGGGTGGAATAAAAGGTGTGTGAGTTCGAAAGGATCGTGAGTCTGAGTTAGGATTCATCACAGTTGTTTTGGAGGTTTTGAGTTGAGCATTAGTACCCACTGAGGCACACTTAGGCACACTGAGGCACACTGAGGCACACTGAGGCACAATTAGTCCAGTTATTGATCCACAGTATACAGTTCTGTATGGCTAATGGAAGTTATTTAACATTGTGTGTACGTTGCCTACATTGATGCAAGTCCTCTGAAGGGTTCTATAAATGATATTTATTTCCGTCCATTACCAAGAATAAAGAGGAGCAATGCTATTTTATGAAGTATTACTTCTTTTAGTATTTGATGTACGTCATTCACAGAGCAGAAAGCTGCTGTCGTGGTTTATTGAACTTAGCCAGAAAGACATGAAGAGGTCTCGCAAAGAAAACCGAGTATTTTGAGATTATAGGCTGTTAACACTCTGTTCGCATGTATATTAAGCCATATTCTATATTTTAAAAAGCAAAATAAGAGAAATAAAATTACCACACCTTAAACTGGTCCGTAAAGTAGTCAGTATTATGAAGACTCATAAATTCATTCAAGTCATTGACAGCTATAGATGTGTCTTTGGCCATAGGTAGAACTGTGTTGGAGTAAGTGTTTTCATGGTTTGATGTCACAGGTGTTGACACACTATTTTTACTTTGACCGTCTGAAACGTTAACAAAAAATGCGTTAACTTATGACATTACATATACTTACAATTATGTCTTTAGTTCATTTTAAGGTTGATAAATATCGCACCAAGCCATCTAACATTTGAATAAAAATAAACACCACTCTCAACACAGCAACAAAATTATTGACTATTTACAAATACAATTTTTGAAAAAAATTGTCAAGTTTTAAAATTGTCAAATCCTGGACAAAATAAGAAATTCGTTAAAGCCATTAAATAAAACTTGCCATTTTCAATAGATGTGTTGTTGTCATCATCATTGTTGTTGTCAATGATTACTTTATTTTGCTTGATACACATCATTTCCTTAGATACTTGTTCTTCACTGATTTTCTGTTTTTTACCCCTTCTTCGTCTAAGAGTCGAGAATTCAAAACAATACGACATAACATTTTAAGTGGCTTCATAACATACGGCGTACTATTTGTAATTTAACTTGGGAGATGTTTGCTAATAAACGTTTATAATTTCTGATTTAAATCACTTGTGTTAGAGGTTACCATAAACAGAATAAACTGATAATTTGGGAAATGGGGTAACTTGGGATTGTGTCACAAGTGAACCTTTTAAATGCCCTTGTCTGACATTATTAAGTCCCCTTATTTTAAAATGTTGGTCTTTATTCTAAGATGAACTTTCCTCCATAAAATAACACCAGCTTTTTTCACAATAATATAGAGATAAAATTATATCCATAAAATAACACCAGTCAGCATAAATAAAAATGAAATAGAGATGAACTTACCTCCATAAAATAACACCAACTATTATCACAAGGAATACGACGATGCTAAAAACAATAGGTGCCACAATAGCAGCAAGTGGTACTGAATCGTTTGTAATGCTTTCTGAAACGAAAAAAAGGAGAAAAAAAAACAAGCCTGTCTTGAAAATGTCTTTCAGTTGAAAATATAAGAAGGCTGTGCTCCAGGCCACGTACAGTGATCCACCGTCTACACGGTGCGCTGCCTGGTCTAAATGACCTACGTGCAATTGTCTTTTTCTCACATTCTCACACATTGTCTTCATCCGACTTAAAAAAGAGTCAATTACAAAACGTAAAATAATGCTATTAATTCCATGTTTTATCAGCTAGTGTGTCTGTGCCGTCATTACTGCGTAAACTGTAAGTCGCACGCTTTTAGCTTTTGATTACAATGCAGGCCAAGAAAATAAAATGTCACGATCAGAACAAATCACATTGGTCTCTTAATTATACAGAAAAAAATGAACTGAATTATTTTGAATTTAAGTGATTTAGATTCCTTGTAAAATCCGATTTTGGCAGTTTTTTAAAAGATAAAACGGTGTTTGGCCATAGTGTAATTATTTATGGAAGGCTTAAAAAACTTGTGTAAAAAAATACAAAAAAACTTTGTATCACTGACCCGTTTTTAATATGAAAATTTAAGAGCATACTAAAGAGCTTTTTATGTGGCTATTGAATTTCCCTCAGATAGAAATAAGCAGCCGGTTATAAAAACAAATAGAATATGTACAAACAACAATTATTTTATGGTAGGATGCTATATCGGTTTTATGCGAAATCGATAATCGGTTTTGACAATCAGGGTTCGACTTTACGTTTTTGTGCTATGAAAAACATGTATATTTAATTTGGAATGGGGATGGGGTTATACTTTGAGTTGGAATAGGCATCTCTCTCGAGCGTGACTAGGGCTCTCCTTAGAGTGGCAACTATGTTCTCTTAAAAGTGGGAACGGGGCTCTCTTGAGTGAGTTTTCACGCTTATTCCACAATTTACATTGCATTTGAAACTGTTCCTCACAGCCATGTCAGACCGACGTGATATTTTATAAGACCGTGATAGCACACTGTTACGCACTGGTTTCTTTGTGAGAAATTAATCTCTTGTTTTAAGTTATGGCTCGTTCACACAGTGCACAACAAAGGACGATGCCATAGAGAAATACCATAATAATACGCAAAAACAGTTGCCAATTACAATTAGTAAAATTTAATTTAGTAACAATACAATTACAAAACAAAAGAAATATAATTACAAATCATCAACTTACAGAGTATCGGAAAATGTTGTACCGGTACACATTAGTACATTGTGCCAATTAATAATGATGAATGAAGAATGCGAATAAACATATATGAGCACACAAAGCAAATACACGTCTTTCGAAGTTAAACATATTTATCAATCTCCCTCTCTGAATCTCCGAATCCCCTTTTTATATCTATGCGTCGGTAGAACCAACGCTTCTAGAAATGTCTTTATCTTTCTAGTCAATTATCGAAGTTTCCCCAAAATTCTATTAGAATATATTAGTTATTTCTAGTTGATAGTTGTGGAAACAACTGCTACATGAAAGGAAAATTAGGGCCACGTCTCATATGGGGTCAACCAGAGTTCACGGCGCGAGGAAAGTGTGCTACATAGCCACAACCTGGTACAGCCACGGGCATAAAAGTTCACTGGCACTGTTTTTTTATGCTTTTTGTAGGTTTTTTTTGGGGGGGGGGTTTGCGTCGGGGGGCGGAATTTTAGACACTCTTCATATACTTTATAAATATATCAGAAATAAAAATATTAAAATTACTCACCATCTAGACATTGTGTGTTATTGTAATCACCGTCACATCCATGGTCGCAGATCCCATTCACAAAATCACAAGTTTTGTTGAGACAGTGGTCACTGCAGCGCTTTAGACACTGGCTACCCCATGTCAGTTTCGGACATTCTAATAAAATTGTTTATTTAAAGTAAAATATTGCTGGGCTATTATAATTATTTTTATTAAAATATTATATGTACCTATGTTTTAATCAATTTCAAACTCCAGTAATATTGCATTCGATGGTGCCATCCAATACTTTATTCTATCGCCATCAGTCAAACTAAATTGTTTTCATAAAATGTTAAAGATTTTTTTTTTTTTTTTTTTTTTTTTTTGTACAAAACTTTTTGAAATTCATTAAATTTTCTGTTTAGAGTAGTGACAAAGGAAGAAAACAAATGAAATTTAAATAACTGAAATAGCTTCCTGGTGATAAAACGTTTAATACTAGAGTTGGTTGTTAAGAACCGACTAAACTGTTATTTTAAATAGATGAATGAAGTTTAAATAGCGGGTAGAAGACGCTAACTTATTTTTGTAAACATTAAATATTTCAATGACCTTTGAGACGATGAGGCTTTGTTTTGACATTGCAATCTTTATTCAATCTACTTACTAGCTGTACACTTATCTCCAAGGTACCCAGGCTCACAGCCACTATCACATCGACCGTTGGCTACATTACAAGGGTTGTCCAAACAGTGGTCACTGCAGTTATATTGACAATCTTTGCCCCATGTGGCTGATGGGCAAGCTGTCAGGTGACAAATGCACAATAACAAATTACACTTAAATTGCCGTTTTTAATTTGAAAACAGGATCTATTAAGTTGTATAAGGGTGTACATTATTAAAGAAATCTCCAGCCCATTCACCAGCTCAAATAAGAATATTTGTAAAATTACACGTTTTATTCTATTCAATTGTATTCGTTTGTTTTTAATTAAGTACTGAACTCATTTCAGAATGAAATGTTTACATTTTATAATGTCATTGTCAGTATTCATTTTTTAATGTAACATTTTTTTGTGTGGATAAATAGTTCTATAGCATTGTTAATTTAAGTTGCAACTCCTTCTATTTCGTTAAAAAAAACAAAGTTGTTAAGGGGAACAATATAAACTTGTGTGTGTAGCCTTAAATCCAAAGAATACGTAAAAAGACCAATTTACAAATTGTAAGTATAATAAATAACAAAATTAATTTATTCCTTAACTGTGACACGTACAATTTGTAACAAGACCATTTTAGTTACTCCCCCGATCTCCCCCCACCCCCAATTGACGTTAAAATGTAATTTTTTACGACCATGATTCTAACCACGTCTTACAACTTTTTTTATAAAATGAATAGTCTTTCCTTTGCTAGTGTTGTAGACTTACGTTAGAAAACCTACTAATCTATCAAATGGTTCTGCAAATGTAACCAAATTCTGTTTAATACGTTACATTTTCCAATGCGTATTTTCACTTGGCCACTGTTTCCATAATCAAGCCTTAGCTCTACATAGCATTTGATTTTTATTCACAAATATTGATAAAAATGTTAAAGATCAAGGATTACAAGAAATAAACACAAGTGTTTTAACACTTTACCTTCAGTGCACGAGTCTCCCGTGTACCCATCTGTACATCCAGACAGACAGACGCCGTTGGTGATGTTGCACGACTTATTGAAACACTGTGGACTGCACTGATGTGAGCAATCTTTGCCCCATGTCAAACTAGAACATTCTGTGGGATTACATAATTTGTCTTCAGTTGCCTACAAATGTACGTATTTTCAGATCGGTCGTATAGCAACTTTATATAATCATTAAAATAAAACCTGCCAGGTTATACTGCAATAAATTGTTTAAAGAATATGTCTTGAGATCAGAATATGGATAGAAGAAATCAGTTCGTATGTGCGTGCGTACAAATGTATGTGTGTGTATGTGTTAAATATAAAATTGATTTAAAAGAGAAAGTTTGATAAAGATGAAAAGAGAAAAATAGAGATGGAATAGAATGAAACGAAATATAAAAAAAAACATACATAATTAATTGTCCCTAATATAAGAGTTAGAAGAATAAGTTGATGTTTGGACCTTGTCCTGTATGTAAATCACTTACTATCATCACAAGTATCACCCTTGTATCCATCCTCACATCCCAGGTCACATGTCCCATTTATTCTGTCACATGTTTTATTTGTGCAATGAGTACATTGGTTGATACAGTCCACGCCCCATCTGCCCTGGGAGCAATCTGACAATCATTTAAGATTATTTTATATAACCTTAACCTAATGATTAACGAAGTAGTATTTATTTTACTTAAAACAATAATTGTATATATTAAATCGGGGTAAGTAAAATGATAAAACAATATTTTACACCGAACTGAGCTAAAACATGTACACATTCTAGACGCTGTTATTGAAATCGAGGTGGAATAACACTTACAATGTTTAATGCAAGGCATAACCTTATATTATTTCATTGCCGAGTAATAGGAAGTTCTTGAAAAAGTGTAAAAACATAATTGGAAAAAAATAATGTTATACTACTACACAGAGGAAGAATGATGGATCACAACCAAATTTGACATGGTCATATCTCCTGACCTATTATTGATACTCTTGGGAGTTTGGTTAAAAGTCCATTATCGACAAAGCTGTAAATTAAAACATATAATTTTGTATTGGCTTCAAGGGATGTTTAGGTTAAATTATTTTTGTTTTTCAATTTTATATAAGCATTTTTAAGACCATTGCACTCGCAAACATCTTATCAATGAAGGTTTTAGTTTGTGATTTTAAATAATAATATGTATTTTAAAATAATGCTTTATTATTTCATCAAACCATCCCCTATTTCAGGAGTCGCATAAAGATTGGTTTACGATACCTAGGAAATTTAAAATTCTTAATTTCTTTAATTAATTTGTATTATTACCTTTGTAGCACACTTTTTCCGTGCGTGAACTTTACTTGACCTAAATTAGACTCCTAGCAGACAGTAACGTCTGTTGTGGGCGTGGCCTATTCGTTTGATGTATCTTGTTTACAAACGTATTTACCAATTAAGCCTGTTAGACTCTCTACTGGTATTTTCTCGAATGTGCTCGATAACCCGAGAAATGTAAACAACAAGTCATAAGTATTTTCTCGAAGGCAGGGATACGCGTACTTATAAGGGATGGACAGGCACGGACAGAGAGACAGAGATTCAGATAGATAATTATTAACTTCACGTGACGTGTATTGTGTATTGATGTGTTTATTTCGCATTCATCATTTTTAATTGGCACATTGTATTAACTGTGAACCGGTAAAAGATCTACCATACTGTAAGTTGATGATTTATAATTATATTTCTTTTGTTTTATTATTGTATTAATACTTAATAAATCTTAATTAATTGAAAACTGGCAACTGTTTTGGGTGTCGAATCTTAAATATTGTTGACTCTGTTTACAACGACCCAAAAAAAAAAAACAAAATAGGAAATTAATTTATCATATTAGAAGCAAGGGCGTAACACCTTTATCTTGTAAATGTCTTTGGGGGAAAGGAGAATGCTCAAAGGAAGCTGAAAATTATGATATTAGCTTATGAAACTTTGTATTAATACTTGTTTAAACTGTATCATTTGTGACTTGTGTGTTTACTTGATTGAAAACAGGGGCGGTTCTGTGAAGGGTGGAGGAAAAATTTTAAGTCTAATGATAAACATGGATGCAACGGATGTTTCATCATCATGTCCCTTAGTCCTTGGACCGTTTGGGGGCCACAGATGACATGTGAACTATCCACCTCCATTTGTATCTTTCTTCTGCAATTTGAATAGCATCGCGTAGTTTTAGTCCCGTCCACGCTTTGATGTTATCTTCCTATCTTTGTCGCTGTCTTCCCCTTCTTCCCCCTCTTCTCGTTGAGCCCTGCATGATTTCTTTGGCGAGCCCTTGTTTCCTTGTCGCGTGGCCATACCATTCCAGTTTGCGCTTTTTTATAGTCACTAGGAGTTCATCGTACTTCCCAATTTCCTGGCAAATCTTTTCTTTTACTGGATCACCTGAGATTTGATCTCAATAGCAGATGCCAGGAATGCTTCTGAAACATTTCATCTTCATCCTCTTTATATTCATTTCAAGTTCAGGACTCAAAGGCATACAAGGAAATGGAGAGAACTAAAAAGCGAATAAGCATGATATTAGTGCTGGGGGCTATATTTTTGTCATTCCATATTTTCTTGAGCGTCTTTGGGGCTCATGTGGTCTGGGCAATTCTGGACATCAATTCAGGCTTGGGGCCTTCTTCCGAGACTATTTATCCTAGGTATTTGAAGCTGCCTACTGTCTCTAATCTTTCTTCTCCAAACTAAATTTCAGTGGCAAGGCCGGTGGTGTTACTTGTCATCACTAAACGGATGTTCACTTTTTCTTTTATTTGTTTGTTTGAAGGCGCATAATCCAACAATAGCATTTTGTTAATAAAAATTTCCATATTGGAGATAGGGCAAAAAAGGAGGCCTAGCGAAATTGGCATTCTTAAACGTTCACGTTTTTGTTAAGTTATTTGAGCAGATGGGAATTTCACGCATTGCTGTCGCCAATGTTTGGCGGGCTATATCTAGTGTAGTGAATTATAAGACGTGCATTTCTACAATGATTCACTGACAACTGCTCATCCAAATAATAGCACGTATAAGTTGTAATAAAAGACATTGATTTTTTTTTTAGTTCTTCGAAATATTTCACATCATGAAGCAGCAATTATTTGTATAGTGCATCTGTTTATAATACAATACGTCTTAAAACAAAATAGAAATTGATTTACTTTTACCGCAACCGTCCCCATGGAAACCAGCAGCACAACCAGATGGACATCCTCCAGTAGCCACAAAACATGTCTCTGCTTTACTTTCACAGTTACATGATTTGTTACATTCCAAACCAAATTGATTGGTAGGGCAAACTGAATCTGTTGACCAATAGATAAAAACAACCAATTTAATTCTATAAATATTGATAAAAGATACAATGGTATCATGTATATATTTTTATTCTAAGTTGTATTATTTATTTCAGTGTTTTAATAGGATTTGAATTAATTTTTTTGAAGATATTTGTCTCACCACCGTATATTTCCACTTCACACAAGGTCAAGATTTGGCTGACATTGGTGAACATTTTAACATATGAAACAAGTTCAGGGGGTGACGTCACGGCGTAAGTCAATTGTTGTTTTGGAGGAATGGAGTAGGCGAACACTAAGTCTTTTTCCTGGTTAAAACTTGAGAGAGAGAAATTCAGCAGTCTTTCCTGAACTGAAATCATAATAGGTCAGATTAATGTAAGTCGTAGTATTTCAAAGCTAATGATTTCCTAAACATAATTTCTTTACAATCAGTATTAACAGAACTAAGGGTAACTTGTAGCAATTGTATAATCATATAAAATAGTCATAAACCTAAGATAATCAGGTTAATTAAACACAAACAACTTGTGTCAATGAACACGTTTCAACAAATGCCTTTATCAGTACAAAAAAAAAAAAAAAAAAAAAAAAAAAAAAAGAAATAAAAAAAAAAAAAAAAAAAAAAAAATAAAAAAAGCAAAAAACCTAAAAAAAACAGGTTAAATAAACAAAAACAACTTGTGTCAATAAACACGTTTAAAAAAATGCCTTTATAAGAAAAAAAAAAAAAAAAAAAAAAAAAAACAGGATTTAAATGTAAGTAGAACTTAAATTGACATAATATATTTACATGTGTCCTACCTAAAACATAGTAAAGAGGATGAGTGGGCGCAAACGCAGACAAGAACAAAGTTAAGCTGAACTGGATGGAGGTGAGTGATCTTATAAGAACAAGCTGCCCTACAAATTTCATGTTCGTAGGCCGGAGGTTTTAAATTGTAAGCAACCATGTAACGTGTGACGTCACTTCAACAAATGTTTGACGTTTTGTATTAAAAAAGAACTTACGGTTGCCTCTATTGTAGAGAACGTATCTGTTTACAAGTGGAGGTCTTGAGAACGTTACATTCCAGTTAGAGTCAGTCGCTTTCAGTGTATGTGAGCATTTGCCGTGAGAGAAATCGGAGTCTGTATTCCCGTCTACAGCACGACTGGAGTCATATGCTACACCGTTTTCGCTATAGTTACTTGATTGTGACGTCATTTGCCTGACTGCCACATTTCTACCTAAAATAAAATTTAAAAATGAGTTCAATGCGTTGGTCCTCAGAATCCATTAATTAAGAACCCTATACGCCATTCAGATCACGTGTATTAATCAGTTATTAAAAACAATATGTGGATGGGCGAGTGGCACAAATCTGCTTTGTTATTTTAAAGTAAGATACAATCTAAGAAATTATCAAACAAGAAAGATTTTAAGACTAAGTTTTTTATTTAATTATTGTGACAGTTCAAATGCCATATACATCATTTGTTAAAAATGTGACGAACCTCCGCGATATATTTGTCATTTCTACTATCATAATTGATAAGATTTTGTGTTTGAGTTAGCGTTGTTAGCACATTGTAGGCCCTCAATGCTAATACGAAAAGCCCCACATGCTCTAATGTAAAGATCTACCTCCACCGATGTAAAGCTCTACCTTCATTAATGCGAATGTTCCCTAAATGTAAACCCTACATTGCTAACGCAGTACCTCTATTTCTGTAAAACTCAAGCCATTTAAAATATAATATTCCACCAATCTGAAGCCCTACCCTCACCAATGTAAAGCTCTATCTCCACCGACGTAGAGACTAATTTCAATATGTTAAAGCCCTACCTCTATTAATGTCAAGCCATACCTCTAATAATGGAAAGACTTACCCCCACTAATCTAAAGACCTACCTTCACTAATGTATTCACACATCTCCACTAATGTAAAGATCTATCTCCTCTAATGAAAAGACCTTAATCCGCCAATGTAAAAAACCTACTTCCATTAATTTGAAGACCTACATCCACCAATGTAAAGACCTACATCCACGAATATATAGAACTACATTTATCAATGTAAAGCCCTACCTCTTCTAATGTAAAGCTCTTCCTCTACTCATAAAAGCCCGCCTTCACTAATTTAAAGACCTACCTCAAAAAATGTAAATGCCTACCTCCACTAATGTAAAACGCTGCCTCCACTAATGTAAAGCCCTACTTCCTGTAATGTTAAGCTCTTCTTCTACTAATATAAGGCCCTAACTTAACTAATTTAAAGAACTAACTCCAATAATGTAAATACCTACCTCCACTAATGTAAAGCTATACCTTCACTAATGTAAATCCCTAACCCCTCATCACTAAAGCTCTGAATCCCGTATTGTAAACACCTGTCTCCACTAATGTAAATACCTATCTCCATTATTGTAAAGACCTATATCCACTAATGTAAATCCCTAATTCAACTAATTTAAATCACTACCCCTACTAATGTAAAGACCGACCTCCAAAAATATAAAGCTATACCTCCAGTAATGTAAAACTCTGCCTTCACTAATGAAAAGCTCTTCCTCTACTTATATAAGGCCCTAACTTAACTAATACAAAGACTTAACTCCACTAATTTAAAGAACTACCTCCAATAATGTAAATAACTACCTCCACTCATGTAAAGACCTACCTCAAATAATGTAAAGACGTACCTCCACTCATGTAAAGACCTACCTCCACTAATGTAAAGACCTTCCTCCACTCATGTAAAGACCTACCTCCACTAATGTAAAGCCACATTTCCACTAATGTAAAGCACTATCTCCACTAATGTAAAGACCAACCTCCACTAATGTAAAGACCTACCTCCACTTATGTAAAGACCTACCTCCACTAATATAAAGACCTCTACATCCACTAATGTAAAGACCTACCTAAACTAATGTAAAGACCAACCTCCAATAATGTAAAGACCTACCTCCACTTATGTAAAGACCTACCTACTCTAATGTAAAGACCTACCTCCACTTATGTAAAGACCTACCTCCACTTATGTAAAGACCTACCTCCACTAATGTAAAGACATACCTTCAATAATATAAAGAGCTACCTCTACTAATGTAAAGACCTACCTACACTAATGTAAAGACCTACTTCCACTTATGTACAGACCTACCTCCACTTATGTAAAGACCTACCTCCACTTATGTAAAGACCTACCTATACTAATGTAAAGACCTACCTCCACTTATGTAAAGACCTACCTCCACTTATGTAAAGACCTACATACACTAATGTAAAGACCTACCTCGACTTATGTAAAGACCTACCTCCACTTATGTAAAGACCTACCTCCACTTATGCAAAGACCTACCTCCACTAATGTAAAGACCTACCTCCACTTATGTAAAGACCTACCTCCATTAATGTAAAGACGTACCTCCACTTATGTAAAGACCTACCTACACTAATGTAAAGACCTACCTACACTAATGTAAAGACCTACCTCAACTTATAAAAAGACCTACCTCCACTTATGTAAAGACCTACCTCCACTTATTTACAGACTTAGCTCCACTTATGTAAAGACCTACCTCCACTTATGTAAAGACCTACTTCCACTTATGTAAAGACATACCTCCACTAATGTAAAGACCTACCTCCACTTATGTAAAGACCTACCTCCACTTATGTAAAGACCTACCTCCACTTATGTAAAGACCTACTTCCACTTATGTAAAGACCTACCTCCACTTATGTAAAGACCTACCTCCACTTATGTAAAGACCTACCTCCACTAATGTAAAGAGAACAAAGTGAGTTAACGCCGTCTCCTATAAAGCTTATTTTGTTGCCTGCCACACTGACGTCACATAAGATGTCCATGGTTCTGTCTTGTGTTATAGTTCTACTGCACGTTGTAACACTGTCTTGTTTGTCGGTGAACAATAGTGTACTAACTTGTAACTGATCTGAAACACAAAATATAAGTGAACATTTTGAAACGTCCTCACTGCATAGTCATATTTTATACGTATTCTGTTACTTGCGATAATACTTTTCTATTCTTTTGTGAAATAATCCATACATTCTTAAACGCAGTGTTACAGCTACAGAGTTCACAGACTATTGTCAACTTGACGTGTGATACATAGTTTGAATGCTTTTAAGTTGCCCTATTATATATTAGATAGTGTGGTATCAGTTTTACATTTAAAAGATAAAAAAAACATGAAAACTGTCATGAAGGTGATTTCCAATGAGTTAATTGTAATAAGCGAAACGCGTTAGTTTTTCCTAGTCATTACATTATTTCATATTATTTGTATTTTTTTTTTTTTTCTTTTTGAAAAGTGTTCAAGTTTGCAAAATTAGAATTGCTCTTTTTAGGTTTTGATTTTTTTTGCCCATAAATTCCTTTAAGGTATATTCTTTAAAAGACATCTTTATAGTAAATATTGAAGGTGATTTCCAATGAGTTAATTGTAATAAGCGAAACGCGTTAGTTTTTCCTAGTCATTACATTATTTCATATTATTTGTATTTTTTTTTTTTCTTTTTGAAAAGTGTTCAAGTTTGCAAAATTAGAATTGCTCTTTTTAGGTTTTGATTTTTTCTGCCCATAAATTCCTTTAAGGTATATTCTTTAAAAGACATCGTGATAGTAAATATGTGCAATAAAAACAGTAAAAAAAACCACACAATTATGTAGATGATTAAGTGTACTAAATAGTTTTACTTTATTTGAAATGATTCGTTTTGTTGGCTGTAAAGAAGTTTGAAATAATAACATAAATCAACTACTGATTCATTCCAACACTTACCAGGTTTATTTACACTTAATCGTATCCAAGTAATGGGATAAATCATGTTTAATGTAACTGTTAAATTTCCTGTATTAGTTGATATACATGTTTGGTCATCTCTGTCAATGAGGTTTGTAGCATTCAGTGAACTTGTGGCAACTTGTGGTTGTGAATACAGGTCCTCTTAAATTATAAATACAGTTTAAAATATAGAGGTGGACAGTTGCTTAATTTTGTTGAAAATCGTGATTTTAATTTTTTTTTTTTTTAAATGTAACAAAGGTTTAAACAAATAAATGAACTTGATTTAAAATGATGTTTATACAATGCTGTTTCTAGAGGATACATATGAGTTACCTGTGTGATATTTTAATTATAAAAAAAATGATATGGTAAATAAAAAAGCATGTCCTATTTTCGATACTGCGTTCAAACAGTGTTAAGGCCATATTAAGGCCTTCCTCTTTGAAATTATCTCTTCCTTTCTATTGTTTTTTTTTACTTCGTGATTGCATGTTTGCAGTCGAAAAATCAGTGGTATTAATTTTACTTTTATAGTTCATACTTTGATACACCACTTGTTTCCAATAAAAACCAGAATCTATGAATCAATTCCTGATAGAAACCAAAAAAATTACTTTACTCTAAAATAAAGTATTTTTTCATCTTTGAAACTAACCCAAACAAAAGGTTACTTACGGTATTGACAAGCTGGACCAAACCATCCAGAGGCACATCTGCCTTCCAGGCACTCGCCATTACTGTCACATGTGTTAGTTGTACAATGACATTGGTATGTACACTTTGTTCCAAACCATCCAGTATCACATGCTGCTAAAATATAGAATATTTCATGAGAAACTCGTTATTAAATTATACATTATTTATCTAGTTGTCTAAATTTAGCAATTTCATAAGAGAATCTTATAATTAAATTATACACAAAAATGTTATGTTCAGTTCTATAAATACGTACGTACCTGACACTCCAAGTACAACAATAGAAAATGTAAACACTGTTATAATTCCAAATATCCTGTGAATCATTCTGAATTGTCAAACAGGTATAGTTCGAATCAACTCTCTATCCTGTTAATACTCCAGAACTATACTGTAGTCAAATAACATAGTTTAAATGATTTATATGGACGATGTCTGGTAACTATCAGAATTAATGTAAAATATTTCTTGTAGCTCCGATTCTAGTGTTCAACTCAAATTCACCTCAGAATTTTGCTACGTATGCTGTAAAAAGATTGATAATTGATCTTTTCATTGATTATAACTTTATTATAAATAATATAGTTTTCTTAATTTTACACTTAACAAATGTTACTTAATATGTAAACATTAATTTTATTTTACAAGCGTTCATAATGGCATAATGTTTTTGGGGTCTTTAATCGTTAAATATCTGAACTTTAACTTTTAGATAATATATATTCTCTTGGCAGAAATATTCAACATCTAAATTATGTTATTAAATCATGTTTTTATTATTTTATAAGTTCTACCCTGTAAAGATGCAAGATCACAATCTAATCAGTAAATTTTATATCATTTGTGTCTTGTCTAAAAGTTTCTGTTTCTAAAACTGTTTAATACAACACAAATCGCTAACCGTCGTTTAATTTTGTATCCCAATAACAACATTTTTTGTCAAGTGTTCATGAAATTTAAAAGTGTTCGCTTTAGATAAGTAAATGATATAATGTCAATAATATATATGAAAAATGTACATACATTTCTTGAGTTTCACCAAAAAACAGAAGCACACAATCCTTCGCTTTTCATAGTTACTTTAAAGTTTAAAAATAGACTAAAAAAGTAGGCGAATATAGTTACATGGCCCATAATATCGTCCATTCAGGAAATCCGTGTTCATAACCCATGCATTGAAATTGTAGATATTATTTCTCTTGACATTAAACTTCCTAGTTTAACGTACGTTTAAGAAGAATCTCTTTAACGGCAAAATCTTTAAACCATAATATTTAAAAATGCGTAGTGATGCGAGAATTATGTTGTCGGTTATTGACTTCCTTTTAATTCTTAAACACTTTCAAAAACAAGATAGGGATAGCCATCAAGTCGTTCTTGTGTGGGGGATTTGTGCACATTACGTTATTTTGGTCTCAAACTAAGACTAAAATTCTTCACCAAAAAATAAATAAATAATTTTGAAAGGAGACATTTTAGAGAAATACGCAACAAACGCAATTCAATAGTGAAGCTAGAACACATTCCCAGTACGAACTCAGGGGAGTTATTTGAAGTTTTTTCAAGGGTTGCGGTGGGAGCAAAACTTACTTGATGCGCCACAGCATATACCATTTTTAAAAAAAACCTGCTAATTGAGGGGGGGGGGGCGAGGGGTACAAATGGCCGCCGATGCACTACCCAAGTGACGTCATTTTACATCCTGTGGTTCTTGCTATCCTTTTTTTGGTAGGTATTAATGAAATCATGACATTTGGTCAATTAGGTTTACTTTAAAATGTATTTTAGGGTAACGAAAACAGCAGCAACAATAAGAATAATTTAGTTGCCTGAACTGTATTTTATATTATATAATCAAATAGAATTGTACTTCAATATCTGGGATTTACATATGAAATTTTAGAACAACATTTTGAAGAAAACAAATTTGAACAAACCTTAAATTAGAAAAGGAATCATTTTGTACTTTCTTTTAAACATAACTTAAGATTATTATTTTAAGTTAAAGCACACAATTTTTTGGATGTTTGTATATTATTTGCATATTTTGTGTAATATACATATATATATATATACACACACATATATATATATATATATATATATATATATATATATATATATATATATATATATTTTTTTGTATGTTTTTATATTATTTGCATATTTTGTGTAATATACATATATATATATATACACACACATATATATATATATATATATATATATATATATATATATATATATATATATATATAAGTGAACACTTATTCATGGGAATGTTTGCAGCTTTGTTCTGCAAAGGTTTTTTATCTGGCTTAATGAATCTTGACCAAGATCTCACCAAGATCGTGATCCCAATGTGATCGGGATCCAATCAGGAAATGAAAGGGTTTACAAATGTTATTCTAAATGTGTTTTTTATTACAAAGTTTTTTTTTTGTGTTTTTTTTTTACTACAGGTTTTTACAAATTTTTTTCAATATTGCCATCAATTTAAACTTAATGAAAAGGCTGTAGGGACAGTTGTTTTCCAAATGCAATCCTGGGCAATGCCGGGTATATTTGCTAGTATATATATATATATATATATATATATATATATATATATATATATAGACCTATGTGATTGTTGTGGGTTTGTTTTGCAAACGTTTCTAGATGGATTGATGCATCTGACTAAAGTTGGTACGTATATTTATCATTATCAGGAAGACATTCTTTGGTGTTTCGAACTTTTTTATTGATCCTTGTGGGGGGCTGTAGGGCCCCATAATATTGTTTTTCCGTATATGAACTAAAGAAATGAAATTAAACACAAAACCCCTTTATGAATAGATGGACCTTGACCAAATTTAGTACACACGCACTTGATTGTCCATATTCAAATACCGAGGGGGGTGGTGAACTCATAAAGTCCACTCTTTTTTTAAGCCCGAGGCCCCCATTTTTTTTTCTTCCATAAACTATAGAATATATAGGCTTAGATAACACAATAGGTTATATGTGAATTAATGGATATAGGCCTAGCTTGGTAGCAATACCCTCCATACGGTTTTAGAGAAAATTTGAACAGGTTGAGAGAAATTTTAAACGAGTGGAGAAATATTTTGAACGCGTGAGAGACATTTTGAACGAGATGATAGACATTTTGAAATGTGTTTAGAGACATTTCGAACAGGCTGAGGGACATTTTCAACGGTGTGATAGAATATACATTTTGCTCGAGATGAGAGACAACTTAATGGTGATGAGAGACACTTTGAACGATTTGAGAGATTCATATATATTTTTATTTTTGTGGAAGCGCTAGTCTTAAGCACACTTAATGAAATCAGGACCTGAACTCAACCATATTTCAACAAACCCTTCGTTGGTAAGCCATCCCGGCACATAGCCAGTTCTGTAGGAGAATGCTCAGCAAAGTAATTTCATCTCATAAAAATAAATAGCTTGTAGTATTTGAATCTATAGCATCACTAGCCCCACTGACCCACTAAATCGATTTAACTCGATTCAATTTCATAAGTCATAACTTTAATTTTAAACACAATGCAAGACAACCAACACATAAAATTCAAATCTTAAGCCACCAGCTGTTTGCAGATTGTATGTGACCCAACGTTCCTCAGAGTATCCCGCAGGGTTTACTAAAGTAGAGATTGGAATCGAGATCCGTGTGTTTACTTTCAACATCATGCTATACGTTATCTTGCTGTTTACTCTCACTTTTCCTCTCGTTTCAAAGAAGTTCTCAGACAATTCATATGTTTCAAATATTTAATTAAGTTTGCCTAAATGAAATACCTAGAAATCAACATTTCAAAATTCTCCTATGACCACAATAAAAAATTACTATTTAAGTTGTAACAAAGAACCATTTAAAGTTACGAGCAGAATCAAGAGTTTTCTTAACAGCTATTGAGGACCATCGCACGACACGTCCAGATGGTGTTCACTGTAAGATCACCGTTGCCATCAAGGTATAAAACTACACCATCTCCCTATTGTCTGGGTATCAACTGCCTGTTCACCAAACGACTGTAGCAACGCATCCAAGTAAAGAAATGAAGGCATGCGCTCTTATCGTCTTCAGATTAGGTAAATATTTGAAGTTACATTACTACAGAGATACATCGCAACACAATCAGAACACGCAACATACATTATGTTATTCTGTCTTAGTTTTTCAGATACTATTGTCCTTTTATACGATATGAAGGATTTTTGGTATTCAATCTTCATTTAATTTACAAATATATCTATGATGTAATTTTTTATGCAATTTGAAAATGCCTTACACCAATGTGACCGACACGATCTGATAAGACTTACATTGTGTAATGGTAATGTGTCTGTGATTTAAGATTTGTCTCTAACGGGAATTCTTTTAATTTTGGGTTTATTAAGCAACTAAATACATGCCCAATCTCTTTTGCTTTTGAACCCCCACTGGATCACAAGGCCGAAAACAATTTCGTCCCAAGCTTTCCGGTCTTTTGTAATATTTTTAAAACCGTTCTAAATATTTCAAAGAACCTCGAACGCTCTCCGATTTTATCCTGCCTTCATGACACTTAATAAAGTAATAACTGTCTATATCTATTTGTAGAAATCGATGTCTGTATGTATGTTTGTATGTGTGTATGTTCTGTATCCGTTTCTATACTACTCATACTTATGCGATAAGACTATGGCGAATTTTCCGCACAACAACAAATATTTTTGAATTATTGTAACCATTTCAAAATATTTTTCTTATATGAGTTTTATAAAATTAATTTCAAAAAAGGGAATGCACAGCTGGATGGATTTTAAATAAATACAAATAGTGATATTCCAGTTTGTTTGTGACATAAAAAGTAGGTTTCTGAATTAGTAAAACCTTTTTAGATTTTCCTTTTGGGCTTTGGGTCCTAAATTCCTTTATTTTAAAAATTATATGAATTACATTAATATAATGTCCGAATGTTTTCCTATACAAGTAATGCAATTGCAATAAATCTTTGATGAGTTGCTGTGCGTACGCCCACAAAAGTGTATAAATTAATAAAAACATTTACAATACTCTGTTACGGCCGGGCGCCCTATATTGATTTTTAAAAATTACATGAGTTGTATGAAAAGAAGTTATTGCATGGGTGGATCAATCGATACAAGTATGGGGACTAAATGTGGAAAATACATGCTTATTATATGGACAACTGTATGTGGCCTGTTCATGGGTCGAGAAAATGTCTAAACTATTCCTCTTCTTACCAGGCGGAAAAATAGTTTTTGTATCAAAGCACTTTAAAAAACATTATTAAAAAAAACAACAGAAAACATTATTTCTTTGAGTGAGAGAAATTGAAATGTCAAAATTGATATTTGTCAAGTATGAGCGTTCATTAGTAATTGTTGCGACTCGATATTATGTTCATTAGTTGTTGAACGCTTTTCCCGCACTTGACTATTATAGTTATTGAACGCTCTTCCCGCCATTGTCTCTATGACGTATTTTTATGCTGATTCGTGACGTATTGTCTATGCAGTATTGTGACGTATGTTTTAGTCATGCGGCAGTCTTGAGTGGAACATTGGAGTGATATGATGTGTATTATTTAGGTCTGATAGCGAGCTGCGCTTTATTCACGTGTTGTGTGTATTATATTTACTTAGATCATAAAGTTATAATTATTATGAAAAGGAGTTGAGTTTGTTCAATGATAATAGGAATAGTACGACGCCTCAACGTGTGAAAAGAACTTGACGAATGTAATCAATCCAAGAAGACAATAGGAGTTGACAATATTGTATCTTCATGTGAGCTACATAAGAGGTACATAAGAGCTATATGAGAGCTACATAAGTGCTACGTGGGATACACATGAGAACTACATGATAGCTATATGAGAGCAACATGAAAGCTACCTAGAACGATCTGAGAGCTACATAATGGCTACATGAGACCTACTTGATAATAACATGAGAGCTGCATGAAAGCTACATATGAGTTACATAGGTTCTATATGTGCTTTTTCGTTCGTCATATCGACAAGGATTATCTAGTCACCCGGTTAGTGGAGAGGTAGGTCATTGTGTGTGCCTAGGTGGCTTAAAAGTCTGAAACCGCGCTCGGAATAGTCTTTAGCACCGAAG